AGAGATAAAGTATATCTAATAGAGAAAAGATCTAGAGAAAGAAGTGAAAAAGGTTGGATATTTGGAAGGTTAGAGTAGTAAGGCTCTTTCCTTAAGCATCCATGGTCTTTTTCTTTGAAAAGCTTGGTTGGTTGTGGAGAGACAAGCAACGTCTCAGGCCGAAGAACAAATCAGAAGCTCTTGGTAAATGGTGCAGAAGAGAGGAAAAGTCATAAGACTCTTTCTTGGTGGAGTATCATTGTGTTTCTCAGATGTTGAGGAAGATTGTGGAGACAAGACTGTCTCAAGCTATATCTTGATGAATAACACGTGAGAGGAAGGAGTTGTAAGACTCATCCTGGTTAATATTGAAGCATCTCACTCAATATAAACAAGACTGAAGAAAACAAAAGATTTTTTGAAGCAGTCTCAATCTCTGAAGCAGTTTTCTGAGACAGGTGTAGACAGTTTGGTAAGATCTTGCTTTGTTACAGGAAAGTTCTAGCTAGATCTTAAGTGGAGTAACGTTACTTAGTAGTTCTGTTAACAGAGGGTTCTTAAGATGCTTAAGTAGTTGAAAACATGGTTAGCTTTGGTTATGGTATGTAACTGAGTGTGGAAGAGAGATGAAAACAAGGTGTATCAGGGATTCATGGTAGAAGTATGAATCAAGTGAAGTGATTTCAAGTTTATGAAATCAGGTTACCTCTAAGATACATGAACGTGCAACATAGTGAGAGAATTTCAGGTTACTCACAAGTTAAAGTATTCCAAGAAAAAGAAAGAAAAACCAGAGATGAAGAAAGTAGCATATGACCAAAGATGGTGTTTTTTATCAGTGTTGAAGAAGCCGGTTATTGGTTGATGTAAGCTGAAGGTCTTTTACAAGTATCAGCTGGGTTTGATTCTGGAAAGTGTGAGTACAAGTTATGTGACTCAAGGCTCTGTATCAGAATTGGAACATCAACTTCAAGACTCAAGTTTGGGAGACATTAAAGTTTGATTCGGCTGTAGTGACAAGGTGTTTGTGATGCTGTGTATTGAAGTTTAAGAATTGCTCAAGTTCGCATATGTACTGGAAATGAAGTTTGTTGGAACAAAAAGTTTATGTACTGGTTTTACAAGGGTTTTGCCAAGATTCAGTGATGGTTTTTCATGGTATCTTCTTGTTGAATCATTTTGGCAAAGTCAGTTGCAGGCGGTGTTCTTTTTATCTTGTTTCCAGCGCGGTAACTCATAAGATTTATAGAACTAAGGGATGCTTTAGAACCTTGGTCTTATGGGCATTTTATGGCTGTCTGAGTATCAGTATGGGATCTCTTCGGTCAAGTTAAAGGGTGTTGCAGAGTGGTTATGAAGCAAATAAATTTTAGTGGTTTTTTGGTTGAGTGAAAAAGGTTTCTTGTTGCGAGTTTGTCTCTGTGTGTAGTTGTCAGTTCTGGTGTTTGTGAGAGTATACAATTGGTGGACTATCAGAGAACATGAAGCTACAAGACTGTTTGTTTCAGAGGTAATGCAGTTAAAATTGTTGAATTACGCTCTGAAACAGTATCTGAAGCAGTCTGGTACAGAAAAGCTTCTGTAGAGAGAGAAGGAGATACACACTTATGGTGTGAGTTTTGGAGTAAGCTGGGAAGTGTTTTGACTTCTTGATTCAAGAGTGTAATATCTTGAGAAGGTGGAAGTAGCAAAGATTCAAGTTTTGTGCAGATTTGTGTTTGGTGTAACACATGGTAATTCTGTTGAAATAAATCTGTTCTGGTCTCATGTGGAGCTACAATTCTCATATTAATTCTTGTATTGTATCAGATCTTCATGCTATGAAGGGAAATCTAATGGTATGAAGACATTGAAGACATCAAGTTTATGAGGAAGGTCTCTCAATGTTTATAGGCAATGGGGTATACTATGTTTTGTGTCGAAAGTCTTCCTAACTAAGAGAGTTAGTCGGCGTGTCATGTTTATTCTAACAGCTGTACAAAACAAGTGTATGTTGGTTTTGCTGCAGGATGGTACAAGGTTTGTGATCTAGGATTGAGGCATATTTGAGACAACGCTGCTGGAAAAGACAAAGGTTTTTGGTTGTTATTTGGTACATATGAATCACTTTGGAGTGGCTTCAAGGAGAAATAAGCATGTGTATCACGTTTTGACACACTTTCTCAAGAAAGAAGCGATGGTGGCTCATTCTGATTCATAAGAACGTATGAGTAGATCTATAATACAGTGAAGAGTGTTTTAACTCAAAATGGTGGAGTTGAGCTTAAAGAGACAGAGGTTCAAGTGGCTATGGTTCCAGGTGTAGTGTTGCTGCTACAGGTGTATTATTGGTGCTACAGGTGGAGTATTGTTGTTACAAGAAGAGCAATGGATATCCAAAAGGGTTTTTTTTCCTTGGTGGAGCTATGTTTATTTGGACGCTATCTTAGGAGCTCAGATCTTACAAATGATCTTATTGTGATTGGCTCAAAAGAAATGAGTTAAAAGGCTGCATTAGACACTATTATATTAGATTCATGTATGTTCAGTGTGCTAAGAAGATACAAGTCAAGAACATGTGGTTTATCAACGAGGAGAAATAGCAGGTTTTGAGGAGATTGCAAGTTCTCACAATAGAGTTGCAGGTTTTTGAAGGTTTTCAGAGAAAAGACACCAAGGTGTAGGCGAGTTGAAGTTGTTGAAGTGGTTCAGTGGGTTCTCTGAAGAAGAAACTGCAAGAGACAAGTGCAGGTTATGCAGGAACTGCTTCAAGACTACTCACTTCAAGAAGGTGAAATTGTTGTGTATCTAGCTTGATAAATAATTTATCTCATGGCAGGTGTCTGCAACTTTGGGGGTCTTATCAAGGATGCAAATGCAATGAAATCAATTACATTTGGAAGAGAACAATTATGAAGGTTTAAGTTGTTTTGTATGCATCATAAGAAGATACGTAAATATTTTCTTATGGAAAACACTTGCGAGTCAGTCAAGTGGATCATCTTCAAGTATAATGCGATGATAGTGAAGAAGAAGGCTTTGGTATATTACGCTCCGTTTTCTCCTTCNCCTCGTCCTTCCTCCTTCAGAGAAACTAGAGGGACAAGGTGGTGATGGAGGAGCTTCTTGGGACGATGGAGCTTTCCGAAATGTGAAGAAGATATACATAGGACAAGGCGAGAGTTGTATCGTCTCTGTTAAGTTTGAGTATGAGAACAACGCTGGTGAGGTGATTGTGGGAGAAGAACATGGAAAGCAAATGTTGCTTGCGTACGAGGTGGTGAGTATTGATTACAACTTCACTTCCTACTTTAATTGTTTTTCAACACTGTACTCTTTACCTTTTAACGTTTTTATTCATGCACTTCATAGTTCGAGCTGGATTATCCGAGTGAGTACATAACATCGGTGGAAGCTTGTCACGATAAGATTATGGGAGTTGAAACTGCAGTTATAACCATGCTTAAGTTTAAGACAAACAAACGCACCTCTCCACCCTTTGGACTCGAAACTGCTTTCAGCTTCGTCCTCCAGAAGGAAGGTCACAAGATCACTGGTTTCCATGGAAAATCCAGTACTAGTACTATGCTTCATCAGATTGGGGTCCATGTCTCTCCCATCACCGAGTGACAATCCATCACTAGCTTCATTATCGAATTAATTATCCTCAGTCCAAGTTTGGTCATGTTGCTTTCATATGAATTTGTATCAGTCTCCTCTATTGTTGTTTGCATGTTTTTTTCTTTCAGTTATGCATCTCATGTAGTAAAATAAGGTTTTCCTTAACCTATTTCAACTTTTCCGATAATAAAACGACAATTATGTCATAAATATCATAGTTTTTTTTTTGGTAACGAAATATCATAG